AGGGACGATGGGAGGACAAACATGAGCCTGCATGGTTTATGAATTTTAATTATTGACAATGCAAATTTTTAATTAGTATCAAGAATGTTATATTTTAGCGTCCTTTTGCACTGATTTAAGTTCATGATTTGTTTAATCCGTCTTGCAGTGCGTACACTTATCTATCTTCTTCTCTCACTCGCACTACATGTTTCGGCATAAAAATGCCATCTTCAGGTGCTACTCAATTCACGTCAAACTAGTACATTGTATGCCTTGTCTTCACTTTAAAATAACTAAAATATATGTCCATCATATATATTGACAAATGTCAATNTAAACAAATCATGAACTAGTATCAAGAAATTTTAAATAATTTTTTAAAAACTTTACATTCCCAGGAAACTGCTGTGTTTGTGAAATGTTCTATTTTGTGTACTATGCATTGTAGCATATAAGTGTACATACTTTACGTCTAAACAACTTATGTGATGGTGGTTTCCTATTTGTAGTGATGTTTGCCCTCTGAAGATGGTCCGCAGAGACCGAAACATGTAAGGGTGTTAAGTTTTCATGTAGTAATAAACTTACAGGTCATATTGGACGGAGTGATTTATATTTGTCACGTAGTTTGTAGAACGCTGGACATTTCGAAGGACCACATTGCCTCCATCTTCAGGGTCAAACAGGAAGCCAGGCAAGAAATCAGAAGCAGTAGTCAGAAATATGAGCTCAGCTTGTCACTTCCTTTTGCTGGCTAGGGTCCCTCTGAACTACATGGGGTTACAACCAAAAACTGTACTCTTCATTGTCACAGCCGTGAGAACCTAATCCAACGATTCTATATAGAATTACACAAAAATGAAAAGAGGATATCAAACAGAAAATATACACAATGCAGATTTTAGTTAGAATAATATATTATCAAATTACACAATAACATCTAAATTAATTAATTACAAAGTTATAACAATCCCAGCTACAAATATACAAGTATATACCACTTTCTGTGCAGTATCCTGACCAAAGGCACAGCGACACAATCTGTAACATGAGCCAACAAATCACTTTGGGAAAAATGAACTTTTCTTGTGTTCAACCTATTGTGTGGAACCACGATTATGAGAAAGCAAGTAAGAGGTTATAGTTACATCCTCTGGTTACAGATGTGTTTACATCACTCTGAAAATATACATGATAAATCTTTCCTTTTATAAAACTCTGCACATCAACAAAACATTTGATTCTCATGCTCGTATGCATCAGTCAATCCTTGCCACTACAGAATCTGCATAAACTCGAACACCAAATTTTGTCATCTTTGGTTTCTTACTTCAAGACCAGAGAGAAAACTTTCACTTGGACAAGCAAATCAACCTCCCAAATGGCTTCCTGTTTTTAGAACATCTTGGACAGAGATGACAAATACCCAAAAATCTAATACACAAGAGAACTTTAACCATAAAAATATTTTTTTTGTAGGATGCTATTTCACATAGTCTCATATACTGTTACCAGTATCTCACGGGAATATTCTGCCTCCTTCTTCAGTGTAAATGCCTCTGAAATGCCTGTAACAATCTACCAGATTATATGCCATCATATCCCATAAGACACTAATTTTCAATCTCCACCATGAGAACATCAAATCTTGTACAATTATTACAAAATCTGCTTGTTCAATGTACATTTTTCTTCTTACATGAAGATGTGGAACACAGAAAGGAAGACTTGTCATATGATTTATACTGGAATATCTTGCCATAACCATTGCCCAAACTTGCACATTTCCCGTTCATGTACCATAGTCTCAGATCAAGGTACACTCATGCAAATCAGCACTTCCTGTAAGCATTCTGTATGGCACTGCTAATATCATGATCGGTGTACCACATGGGTAACACCTCAAATAGGGCTGTGCAAGACACGAAGAAAGACGTGCAGTATGAGAGATGTGGATAACAAATAACTAAGCTAAACATCTTATTCTGGTGTAAATAAAGCAGTGGTAAAAATTGATATGTTGCTTCTTAAATATAAAATATGAAGTTATGAGGTACATATTAAACTTATTCATTACGATTAATAAATGGTGAGACGATATGAGCTCCTGCACTTATAACATTCCAGTTGGATGCGTTAATATCGACTTGTGGGTTTAAACATGTCACATGTTCCAGTGTGTTTCAAGATACAGTGCAGTTGCCATCTTTAGGGTGGATCAGATGGAAGCACGAAGCAGCCATATGTAGGTCTCCCTTCACAGTCCCACCCTTATATCTGCCGTGAGACCTATATATCATGTCACATCATCTTCTGCCTCATTCATCCTGAAGACAATAACTGAAATGTACACTAAAATGGTGAAAAATCTGACACATGACACAGCTAAACCACATAGGGCAAATTACACATTAGATACATGCTATAAAAACCTAAGGATGAAAATTACATTTGGTTGTTACAGTGATTATAACCCTTTAAATGCATGATGAAAACTGATTGTAGAACATATCCAAACCTATTAGTATGCATAGCACCAGAAATGTTACCCTATATTAACACTGGATGGCACTCAAAGTGAATTTCCTGCCAACTTCTCAATTGCACTTTTTGATTTTAGTAACTCCAAGCAACTACAGTTAAGTCTAGTATTTAGGATAGCAAGAAAAGGCAGCACCTAACTCTCATTCAAACGATATGATTTGAGCTGTGAGTGAGTTGTCATGGTCACAGTGCGTTTCTCCATGGTGCGTTGCGAAGTGTGTTGTTTCAGCATGCGCTGTTCCAAGGTTGTAGTCTCATCCCCACCAGAGGAGGCAAAGTTGTTCACTGACGATTCAGAGTAATTGTTTGTTGTGACAGCTGAGTACGTCTGGCCACCACCAGTCAATATTTCTGGTGTCAAGACTTTCCTGCCAGTCGGCTTGAGATTTGCAGATATTTTCCTGGTACTATCACCAGCATCATCCAACATCCCCTGTATGTCGTTATAAGCACGCTCCACCTTGTTAATGCTTGACAGAAGTTTCTCTGGTGATGAGAGATTCTGCACATTGCCATTTGGGCTCATGTTGGTAGTGTGAACCACTGGTGTACTACCAGAATGCTTTGGGGTTGAGGTGTTGTCGTAGGACCTTGTCTCATACCTGTCATAAATGTAAACATTTTAGTTGATAACAAACTGAGTGTCTATACCAGAAAAGCAGTTCTGTTACTTCAATACCACATTTCCTTTTTTACAAAATCTGTACAATGAAAATCATGATGCACGTTATATTTGGCAAAAACTTTCATGGTACACAATTGATGTCAGAATTAAAACATGCAGCAGAATATCAAAGTATCCTAAGTCTTGATGTTACCATTCTTCAACGGAAGTCCAAAAATGTTCATGACAAAGGAGTATTTTTAAAAGCATATGTGTTTGTAAAGTTTCCATTGTTGAATTATTCTTTATTATTCTCGATCCTTGTAGGGCGCACGGTAGCATAGTTCATTGAGGCACTATGCTACCAGCTGGAAAGTCACAGGTTCAATTCCCAATGAATTCACTGCATTTTTCAATTCACCTAATCCTTTTACACGCACTACGGCCCTGGGGTCGACTCAGGCTCTAACAGAAATGAGTACCAGGAATCTTCCTGGGGGTAAAGGGCAGCAGGTGCATAAGGCTGACAACCTCACCACCATCTGTGAGCTGACAGTCTAGGAAATGTGGCAGCCTCGACATCTCACAACCATATGGGCCTACACAGCCTGTTACAGGGATAGGTTTATCTTTTTCTCTCTTCACCTTTTATTCTCATATCTCAACAATAAACACTCCAAAGAAGCAGAAATACTGCTGCACTCTACATTATTATACAAATCTATATGCCATACTGCATTATAAATAATCGTAAGTTACAGAAAGGATTTTAGTAACATATTTCAGCCATTTTCAAGTACCAATATTCATTTCTGCACATATGACATGAGCCCTTCATCACTTTACAAGATGTCAATAAACTTATACTCTGACATTTTTAAGTTTGTGTATTAAAAAAATGGGTCATATTTCTTATTTAAGGGGTGCCTGCCATTAAAAAAGGTACTATATATAAGGATCACATTTAGAGGCGTTTGTGTGGTGAGCCCTCACCACTGCATTTATGAGAGAATGAAGAACAGGTGTTGTTTCTTATAAACATTAGATCAAAATGAATGCCAGCATTTATGTCAAAGAGCACTTTACAAGATGTCGATAAACTTATACTCTGACATTTTTAAGTTTGTGTATTAAAAAAATGGGTCATATTTCTTATTTAAGGGGTGCCTGCCATTAAAAAAGGTACTATATATAAGGATCACATTTAGAGGCGTTTGTGTGGTGAGCCCTCACCACTGCATTTATGAGAGAATGAAGAACAGGTGTTGTTTCTTATAAACATTAGATCAAAATGAATGCCAGCATTTATGTCAAAGAGCACTTTACAAGATGTCGATAAACTTATACTCTGACATTTTTAAGTTTGTGTATTAAAAAAATGGGTCATATTTCTTATTTAAGGGGTGCCTGCCATTAAAAAAGGTACTATATATAAGGATCACATTTAGAGGCGTTTGTGTGGTGAGCCCTCACCACTGCATTTATGAGAGAATGAAGAACAGGTGTTGTTTCTTATAAACATTAGATCAAAATGAATGCCAGCATTTATGTCAAAGAGCACAGCTGCCTGTAGATGCACTAAAATGTCTGATAATTACTCAGTACTATTAGTTTCTTGGACTTCATCAATTGTCCCATACTATACAATCAAGAACACAGCATTATCTTCCGTTCTAAGTTCCTACTTCACTGGATCTGTCAGAAAGAACTAATCCAAAATCTGAAAATGGGAGCAGATAAAGCTCATCTCAGAATATGACACACTGCAGAATCAAAGAAACTAGGAATACTAAGAGTTACTGATTTCAGGCTTTCACAGTTGTTAATTACTGATGTTAATTTTCTTCTTGGGTTGTTACACTGTGTGACTGTGACTGATGCTGCCAACATTTTGGAGGTACATGCTGTCTCCAACTTTGACTCTGAAGACGAAAGCAGCAGGTACCTCCAATACGTCAGAACATTGCCCACCACCCAAGAACAGAAATAACATTAGTACGAAGTGTAACACACTATTTATCACAACCATTTAAAATTTGATCTGATAATTTTTAAGCTCCACCCCTCCCTGCCCTTAAACCAAAATATCAAATGCACAAGTGCAGTTAGCCCTGCATACAGATTTGTCTGAGCAGTGAAATTTTGATACGATACCGTGTGGTAAAGGACTCATATCCACTGCCATATCCATCTGGCTCCGTGTCCGACGCGCTGGTGTCGCCGCCCTTCATCTTGTACTTGGCCTGCCGAATAGCAGCAAGGCGTCCACGTGCCTCTTCTAACTGGCGCTCAAAACGCAACACGTCAGAGCGGGCGTTAATCTCTTGTGCTATCCCCCCCACCATCCGTCGGTTCAACACCAAACTACGTTCCTCCTCCTGCTGGATTGACTGCTGTGCCGCCCGCACCAAGTTGTCAGTTGCACGCTTCACAGCGTTGCCAGCAGCCTGAACAAAAGAGAGACACCTAAAGCACTATTTGACTTGAAGGCAAAAATCTTCCAGCTTGACCTGTTGACATTCTTATTGCTTCACAATATTAAAATTTAGCTCATAGTAAGGATTTAACAGTTTCTGTTTAACACAACACCACTCAGTCATTTTCATTTATTTACAGTTTATTTAATCATAGTGTTAGTAGCTCAGACTACATAACACTGAACGGTTATGACAATTAATGAAAAATGAACTGGAAAATAGGGATCTGCTACTGCCATCTTCAGGGTACAAGAATAAGCTGAGAGTAGAAAAAAATCAGGCATATGCAAGGAGTTCAGTATAACAATTTGAAAACATTTTGTGAACTGAGACAAGAATATTTAATTTCTCTGTTACATCATTTCCTTTTTGGGCATGCAGTAGCACAGTTGGCTGAGGCACTATGCCAAGAACTGGAAGGTCATGGGTTCAATTCCTGATGAGGTCCTTATCCTTCCAGCTGCCCTATGGCCCTGGGTTCAACTCAGCCTCTAACAGAAATTAGTACCAGGAATCTTTCTGGGGGTAATGGGCAGCTGGCATAATAAGTCTGACAACTTCACCACCATCTGTGAGCCGATTGTCCAGAAAATATGAGAGCCTCAATGTCTCACAACCCTATGGGACTCCACGGCCTGTTACGGGTTTAACTTTACCTTTTTTTACCACTTTCTTCACTGTAACTACAATTTATGAGCAGATAACACTACCCATTTCTTCAAAAAGAAGCTTTCTTTCAATTTATCGCTGTATTAAAATAATTCAATTCTAGGGCCATGTTCCTTTTCACATTGAGCAGAAACTGGGAGCGAGAGAGAAAATGAAACACATTTCACTGACAAAATGATTCATACTAGCATTGCCAATTATTGTTATTATTACTACTACTACTACTATTATGTGAGAAATGAAGAAGTGTTATTCAGAGTCAGTGAGCAGAGTAATATCCTACACGAAATAAGAAAACGGAAGGCTAATTGGATTGGTCATATCTTACGCAGTAACTGCCTTCTAAAAGAAGTTACTGAAGGAAAGATAGAGGGGCGGATAGAAGTGACCAGAAGATGAGGAAGAAGACGTAAGAAGATGCTGGATGACCTTGGGGACAGAAGAGGATATTTTGATTTGAAGGAGAAAGCTCTAGATCGCATTAAGTGGAGGAACTGTTTTGGAAGAGACTGTGGACCTGTCGTCTTGACAGATAACTGATGAATGAATGAATTCGGATAGACACAATAATTTGTGTGAAATATGCAAAGCAAAACCAGTTATCTGATAATTCTTAAAATATGAGACTGGAAAATCAGTGTTCAAAACATTATTTTTTTCCTTGATTCATTCTTAAGAACCTAGTGCTTGAACATGCCTAAACAAATGGTTTGGAAAGAAGAGGGAGGGCTGGAACCATGGCTCAGCCTAAAATATCTAACGCACTGCACCAAGGCAAATCCAGGAGCTGCTTCAGAGCCTGGTTTGCTCACTGTAGGATGTCACGCACCTGCAGCCGCTTGGTGCTGTCTGCGTCAGGATCAGCCTTCACCTTACAAGCTACCAGCAGCTGGGCAGTGGAGGACGCAACCTGCTTTGCACTGGAGATGAGCTTCTCCTCCGAAGCCATTCCCTGTACTAGAGAGTTAGCGGACTCCACCAGGCTGTGCGTTGCAGCCGCTACGAGACGGGCGGCTGAGATGAGGCCTTCCGACCATTGCCCATCATCTGAACTGGTCAATGGGCGCCTGCTCACCTGCGTGGAAATGAAGTACACAGACACACAAATGTAAGAACTCTGGCCAAAACAGACTTTCATTAACACACTCTACCAACCACACTGAATTTTATTTAACACTGTGTAATCCGAAATAACATTTTGGTTGAAAACATTGCGTAGGAAAAAATTATTCTGAAGACAACTGAGGATATAATTATTATTCCCTTTAAAACACAGGGTTTTTTTTAGTGCTAGTGGGGTGGGACTAAGTCCCTTGTACTGTGGCCACTTTTAGCCTATTGTACCAGCCCCAGATGATAGGTGAGGGCATTGCGGAGCAATTGGTGGAATGAAGATTGGCAGGGGAAACCGAAGTACTTGGAGAAAACCTGCCCCAGCGCCACTTTCTCCAACACAAATCCCACTTGACCAGACTTGGGATCAAACCCGGGCCGCCGCAGTAGGAAGCCAGCGACTAACTACTTGAGCTATGGCATGGCCCCAAACATGGTAGTTACTACACATGCTTCCAGCTTTAAGATTAATAATCTTTGAGCTGATTGTCTAGATAATGTGGGACCCTCAACATCTCACAACCCTACGGGCCTTCACGGCCTGGTACAGGGATAGCTTTACTTTTACTTTTTTTTACTGCACTTTGTACAGGGGCACACGGTAGCATAGTTGGCTGAGGTACTATGCTACAAGCCGGATGGTCATGAGATCAAATCCCGATGAGGTGGATTTTTTCAATTGACCTAATACTTCCAGCCGCACTATGGCCTTGGAGTCGACCCAGCCTCTAACAGAAATGAGTACCAGGAATATTCTTTGGGGCAAAGGTCGGCCTGTGCGTGAGGCCAATAACCTCACCGCCATCTATGAGCCAATTGTCTACAAAAATGCGGGAATCTCAACATCTCATGACCCTATGGGACTCCACGGCCTGTTACAGGGATACCTTTACTTTACTGCACTCTGTCCACAGTATTATGTGGTTTGTATGATTCTGAAAACAACAAGAACTCATTTTCTTAAACAGCATTAAACAGACAGTTCAAGTAATTGAGATGCAGCCTTTTTCTATGAGGCCAGAGCTGAATCTGTTTAACACTATCTGGTTGAGATTCAGAGGTTTGAAATTGATCTCAGAGAACTTACACAACTTACAGTTAGTGCTGTGGGAATGTCAAATCATGCTCTGTGAATATTAACCCTGAGTGAAGGGACATATTTCTCTCTTCATCTTACCTTGCCCTGGTCAATGAGTTCCCTCTGGGCAGCAGATGCAGCCTTCACAAGGGCAGAGTTTGCAGCCGCAATGGATTTCGCAGCCTCCAAGATCATCTCATCAAAGTTGAGATTCTCATCAGCCTCCTGTCAACAGAAACACAACCCCATATGGCCCATATTACAGCAAACTCACCATTACACAGAATGTATAGGCAACAGGATTTCCCACTTACATGAACCTGCCAGCTGCAAGAGAAAAATTCTTGATGAAAACTCAACACAGCGTCTGGCTTTAGTTCTTGTGTGGGAGCCCTCCTACGCGACAAAGCAGATTGATAAATGAAAGAGATCAGATACATATACTGTAATGCAGTTATGAAGACTGCGTAAGACTGACCTTACCACCATCTCTGAGCTGATTGTCTAGAAGATGTGAGGGCCTTGACCTCTCATACCCTTATGGGCCTCCATGGCCTGTTACAGGGATAGCTTTACCTTTTACCTTTTATCTTTCCTTGAAATTCTTTCTGGTTGCATGAAAATTCCAGAGGCTTGGACACTAGATAACAAGAATTACTGCAGTTCACTTAGTCTCTCAGTAAAACGGAACCAAAATTTGAAGTTACACTGTAGCCAAAATAGTAAAATACCACTTTGTTATTCGCAAAGTGCTGCACTGACTGATAACAAACTGGGAGTCACTGTATGTGACAATATGAAAACTACTGTCAAGTTAAAGGAAGGTGTACATACTGTGTGTACCATGTCAGAGAAAAAGCTTTCCCCAAACGTCAGGAGAGAAGTGAGGCTGACACACTATGACATGAAATGTAGGCCCAGGCTGAGGTAGCTGGCTCCTTGTAGCATGACTACATTAAACTGCACAATATTGTGACATGTTGCGCAACGGAGAACCCCTCCCTACCCAGCAGCAACGTGGAAACTCAGGCCACAGTGACATGGCAGATGAGTCAGCGCTCCCCTCCCCCCCTACGCATGGTAACGTAACGTGCAACGCGCGGTGACGTAAGACGGCATGAGGTAACAGCGTTGCTACGTAACAGGCCCACACAGCCCCTATATAAGAGAGCTGGGCTGCCTGCAAAGAGAGTTGAAATGTGGCCATCGCCGAGTTCAGTTCTGAGATAGTTCCGAGCAAGCCCATAAGCAATTGTTATCAACAGTTCTCAAGGTAGCAGCCTGCGAGTCGAGTTGAAATATAGCAGCAGTCGCAATAAGAAGACCCGAACACATGGTTACAAGATCTTATGTGACAGTGTGCGATAACTAAGAATTCAGCGAGCGGAAGACTTAGTGTGTGCTTTCGAGACTTAGTGAGTGCTGTAGTACAGTTATATTTGGAGTGTGTAATTCAGGGAGACTTGTATAGCTCCCGCGTTATTAATACGTGAAGACTCTTGAAGATAGTGTGAAGAGATTTGGTTGTAGGATTTGTAAAGTGTGGAAACCCATAACATTGTTATAATTAATTGTAGCTGTTACTTGTAGGTTGTTGAATAAACCAATTAACAATCTCTACAGCGTATTCAGTAATGAAACACGTTACAATATTGTGTGTCATCTGAATCTATCAGTACCCAGTTCTTGATCAAGTGGAGAAACCATACCCTCTTCTAACACAATGCCATGTTCTTCATATTCCTACGATTTTAAGTATAGAAAATTCTGATAGTAAGCTGGTCAGACACAAACCGGTTCGCTTAAAAAATCCAATATGTCTCCACAGAAGTACTCCAATTTGACAACCTCTTTCCTGATATCATAAATAATGGTAACACACTGCAACGTCTGAAATAAGATGGGAACAGCAACCACACTGCCAGTAAACTCCTAAACACTGACACAAGTGCCCAGGCTAGCCAGTCACCACCTACCTACCCTGCTACATCACTGATGCATGTGAGTATGTGAAATAGATTTTTTTAAGAAGTCATCATTTTAAAAGAAAAAAAAACTGTTTTGGCTCAGTTCCTTGTTGTTCTGCACTTCGTGTTTATGACAATATTTTACAATTTCTACAAGGAATAAATCCAGTAACCAACTGCCCTTAATGTGAGAACACACTGTACTTGTAAAAATTGTGTTACAATTCTTTCAACTATTATATGTATTTCTTTTTTTTTCTTTAGAGGGAGGGGATTGCGTGAGGGAGTCAGCTATGTAAGAATGAATTATCACATAAATATATTTAGAGTTGCAAGGATGATATATTGTAAATCTCCAGCCAGACAAACACTATCACCCAGCTCACTCCTTATTTGCCGTCTGTGACTGTATCTACTTCTGTAGCTCATGTAACATATGTACATACCTCAGAAAGCGGCAAGATGAGCACCTGCAGATGTCACTGGTCACTGTAATAATATGTTTGATTCCTGGGTGATACTGACATAAACAACCAAGAATATCAAACATATCTCACAGGGGCCAGCACCTCCCAAACATGGCCTAGCTGTCCATTCTCTTACTTAAATGACACTTCACAGAGCTCACCTGAACAGATCTTCGTGGGCGCAGGCTTGCCAACTTCTTCGCAGCAGCATCAATAGAAGCCGCAGCACCGAGCAATTCATTCTCCGCTATAACAGTCGGGTCATCAGGGTCCACCCAGTCTGTTCCTGCAACAATTGAGAGCAGCATAACAGTAATGTAATGCTCTACATTCAACAATCAAACTACTGTCTTACATTGTTGTGCCCTGTATTACATTATATTGAATAATGGGAAAATCAAGAAAGCTAGGAATATTAGGAATGAGAGTTTTCCCTTCCTCTTGGGGTAGGGTGAGACTCCACTTGGTACATCAGCCACTATTTGGCCTATTGTATCAGCCACGGATTACAGATGATTAAATGTGTGTGGCAGTCAGTGGAATGAGAACTGTCAGGGGAAACTTTAGTACTCGGAGAACACCTGCCCCAATGCCACTTTGTCCACAACAAAAATCTCACATGACCTGAACCGGCATCGAACCCAGGCCACCACAGTGGGAAGTTGGCCAGCAACTAACCGCCCAAGCTACAGCATGGCCTGAGAATAAGAGTGGGCAGTCATTAGGTGTGTTTGGGAGGCCATTTTTGACTGATGGATTCACAAGTTCAGAAATGTACAAATAAAATCCCTTTGCTTTAATTATCCAGAATTCAATATGACTCATGGAATAAGTGTAAGGATCAGAAAACATGTATCTTATCTTTCTCTACAACTTTCGAATGAAACATTTTAAACTCTGATAATTATTTACCGAAATATGTGCTGAAACACATCTGGTTCTTCATGAAATGTCTGTTGTTTTTATCTGATGCTGACAAAAACTAAAGTGCACTGCCAAATATAAAACTCCCCAATACCAAAATTTCATGAGAAATCTTTTTAGTTTTTCTCAAATTCTTTCATACATACTGATGGATGAGTGACTTTAACAGGTGCTACACAGGACTGCGATAGTGTCTAAAAACTACACTTACGATAAGTAGGACGCTATGCAACATGGCAGCACCAACTTGAAGAGTACACCAGTGTTACAGGGACAACATACAGCACCTTTAAGCAATTCAGCAGAAGTCACCAATTCTGTGACACACTGGGCTATGCGTCGAGAGATAGGCGGCAGGTTCTGCTTCGCATCTGCTGCACCACCTGGACGACTTAGAATGTGCAATACAGTCTGAAGCAATTCACGGTACTGAACAGCCACGTCGTGTCCAGCGTGCAGGGTTCGAGTGCGCAGCTCCTCACTGTCCGCTGAGTTGGATGTTCCCTGCAACATAACCACAATCGAGTCAACAGTCTGGGTCCTGTCAGGTAGCAGAAGGAAACTTCTCCTTGCACGGCAAAGGGCAGAAACCACAAACCGCATCAACAGTAACACATGTGTCTGTATGCGTGTGTGCACACTTCACCCTCCCAGAAATATTCTCACTTTCAGCATCAAGACCAAAAGAATGTGGCTTCCAACCTTTAACAAGTTCATCAGTACACATCTATAGTTTGTTGGCATGCACACCAGCACGTACCAGCAAAAACATAGCACTCTATACAGATATACATATTCTCCTTGCACCCTTTCCAGTTTATATGGGTTGACAGATGGAAAGCCTCTATCTCTTCCTTTTCCCTATAATCTTCCCCTCCAAATTTCTTGTCAGCTTCCTCTCCTCAGGATGCCTTTCAGTACCCGGATGAACTACCCCTTTACTTCTCTACAGGTTACTTAACACTTTGCGGACCGCGCACCCTTTAAAAGGTTTTTCGCTTTTAAACATGGCAGACCATTCGCGTGTTAACAGGTTTTTAGAACACGATAAGTTGCTACACACTATACATTGCTCTGGCGCCACCTACATTGCATGCAACTGCGTGCAGATGCGTGATAAGACTCTGGAATGTTTAGTTAGCAGTCAGTAACTTGACCTCGCTGTTTACTTAACCAACTATAAAGGAAAATGCTTTGCCTTCTTCAAGCTGTGTGTATCAGCCAGTAGCTAGTGGGGAGAATGGATCAAGGACAAATTCTCCTCCGATGACCTAGCTGACCTGCCTTGTGAGACGTGTAGTAATGGATTAATTGTCATTCAGACAGCGACAGTGACGGGGGACAACAAAGAATTGTGGCCACAGACAGTAAAAGTGACAGTAGCTCCAACGATCATGCAGCTAATAACATTGCGCATAGTAACATTGCGGGGACAGCAAAAAATCTAAAAAAAAATCTAAACCGATTCAAAATTGAAATACAAAGCATTTCTGATGAATGTGGCAAAGGCCTGGGCTACACACCAGATGGTGGTGGCAGAACCAGGGTCACACAAAGACTTAGTACGACCGGGCCCATCAACTCCCACCCCATAAAGGCCTCATGTGGACCCCCCAGGGCGACTCTTGAGTGATATGCGGAAAAATACCCTCGTGAAAATTGTGAAGAGTGAACATTCCAAGGGGAAGAATACTTCTAGGCAATGCTGTGTTTGCACAGTTCACAAAAAAAAGGAGTATGTCTACATTTGCAAGTTCTGTTTAATGCCACTTCACAAAGGGGAAAGTTTCCAGAAATATCACACCCTCAAGCATTTCTAGGAGCATTGGTAAGTGTTCTCCAAAAATTTTAGTTAAAAAATTAATTAGGAGATTTTATATTAATTTTTAAAGTGAACAATGCACAAGTTAGTGTAGTATGTTTAAAATTGCCGGTTCCCAAGGTGATTTAAATATTTAAATCACCGGTCCGCGAAGTGTTAAGAATGCTTTCAGCATCACAACTACGAAGCATAAGATGACAGTATGACTAACAAATGATGAATTGGAAAAGGTTTAGAAGGCTGTGGCCTCGTTCTGAGACATTCCATACCTTTCCTTCATCCTACTTTAATTCTAATGTCCTTCTTGGTCTCATTTATGTTTCTCTGTTAGTCCCACATACATTCCACACAACTGCAAGGATGGCCTCTGGAGAACAATCAAAAAATTTCACAAATCTCATGGAAAAGAACACCTACTACAATAATTTTAACAAAGTAGGTACATGTAAGTTAAGCAGCCAAACACAAGTAGACCTTCTTGGCGACACGCGAGTTACACAGAAACCATAAATATAAAAATTAAAAAAAGTTAAGTTACATGACGGCTGAAAGAAAAATTGTCATTATCTAAGCTGTAATTCCAGTAATTTCTGTTAAATCTCACTCACTTATAATGACAAGGATTCTAAATGAGACATCAAATGTCTCAGAAAAAAAAATTCTTTGGCATCTAAAAATTGACTTTCTCCTGACATACATATCAAATATAACAAAGTTTATGCGATACATCTTGATCCAATTATGTATGACATGCTTATGGGTGTGGGCTACATCTGAAACTACGGTTTCGCATCCTGGCACAGCCAACAACCAATTTATAATGCAGGATCAAATACCTTGCATATGGTCAGCATATCGGAGATTGCCTTGCGTCCCATGTTGGCAGCAACAATGATGTCATCCTGCTTGCAGCTATTGCCAGCTGCAACTGCCTTTGCTGTAGCCACAGTGATCGACTTGGTGCATCGCACGAGTTCCTCTGGTGTAGCATGACTTTTCTTTTGCTCTGGGGAGTGCAGGGCCTGAGCCATGAACAAAACATTCATGCTGTCAAATCTGGGTTACAAAGCAATAGTAGTATCCTTAGCTCTTCTGTCACAATGGCACATCAGGGTTCACGCCCATCCTACAACAGTAGACTAATCTCAAGTTGAAGGGGTACATACACTCATCTGTCTCTGATAGACTGTTTCTTATGCTTGTTTTCCTCAGTTCCTCCAGGCAAATGCCAAGGACAGTGCCTTGAGTATGCCAAGACTGGTTCCTCTCAAATCTGTTCCTCATCACTCATCTACCATCCTACCAATCAATGCTACACAGTCCACACACCAACAGTGAAGTAAAAAACCTATGGAAAGGTTAAGCCCTTACTCCTGTGATAATGTTGTTTTTTTTTAGGATGGGTGTCACCCTCAGTGCAGTGGAACGTGTAATGCCCAGGGACAATGGTATAGTGCAACAGTACAGCTGAGGGCCCCTCTACCACTGCACCTTCATTCCAAACACACCACACACTCACATATATATGGGTATATACATCAATCTGTGACTTCAGCAATCAATGATTCTCACCTAATTACAAGATGCTTCTTTATTCATAAATATTCGGCATTTAGGTACATTCTGGTGGCTGTAGGGCATGAGTTCTCTCATGTGACATCAACTGCTTCATGGAATGTGAACATTTACTGGATAAGAGTTGAAAGCATTTGTTGGGCAAGAGATATATAATTCTAAAAAACTTTAGTAATAATTTTACTGCACTTGTTTCGCAGTCCCTAAATAAACTTTATACAGGTACTGTTAACAATTTACAGCACCACCTGCGTTAGTGTTCAGATATTCTGCATTTTGCTCACCGAGTTTATCTCTGTCATATGATTCACACAATAAACAGTGATTATTTCCCTAAACTGAATTAACTGACCAGTCTTCATACTGGAGATGTGGTATGTTTTCTGTGACATAGGAAGTTAATTTTTAAATATTATTTAGATAAATTTCATGCTCTGAAGGGCTAAACGAAGGCTGAATTATCATTTTGTCTAGTATGAAAACAGGTGACTCACTCGAATCTCCTGTGCAATAACCTCAATGGTGGACTCAAGAGCACGGGTGCCACGTGTGTGTTCATCCTCCACAGCCTTGACAGTCTTGAGCAGTGAAGTCACATTGGTTACCATCACCTGCGCACACAAACACAAGTTCTTCACAGGACATAATGAATAAGCCTCAGCAATGATGCCAACTGTCTGCAGCCCAATATAAAAACACACTTATTTACGCACGCTGTTCCTGAACATAATGTGATGTTCCACAATCTACCCATATCTCAAATCAAACTAAGAGAATGTCATCAGAAATATGTGGATCTATTTAAGGATGTTGTTGGTGTGACACAGAAAAATTCTAATGTATCAGAAAAAGTAAATATTTGAAGATTGCTGCCTTCTGGGTTACAAAGTACAGTCTGGTAGATAATTACCAATGTTTCCGATGAACCTGGTGCCTCCATTTTTAGGAAAAAAAGATGAAAACCTAACAGGTCACTCTGAAACGCTGATAACTATCTACCGGAACACATGGCATCACACCCCAGAAGAGTAATATTCAATAGTCACTGTCATAAGAACTGGAAATTCCACAGAACAAATACCTTCTCTTACTAAATCAGAATGTAGGTCTCCCAATTTTTCAACTGCTGACTTATAAAAAGTAAACAATTCCCAACAATTTGCAATGAATGGCATCCCTTTGACATGCAGTACCTCCAAACATGAACATTTGTTAGTTCAGTCAACAACATTACGAAACAACATAAGATGAAGATTACTGTCTTTTGGGATGTGATACTGAGTAAGATCTGGCAGAAAGTTACAAACATTCTAGAAGAGTCTGCTGCCTCTCCTTCAGAAAGTGGAGGCACCGAAATCCTCTGCAGATGACATAGCAGCACATCCCTGAAGATGGTAACCTTCATAGTCATTGCCATGAGAACACCTGATTTTATATAAGGTGTTTCATCATGGTTCTCAACTGAAGTTTTCTCTTACTCTCCAGAACAGTGCCAGTTCCCTCCCTGTTCTTTCCAACATGAAAACAGAAATGAAAACCAGACAAGATTTCTTGACTAATGTGATTCCCTGGCTGTGAACCAATCCATTATGGAATAAAAAGTAAAACTCCACTGTTCGGGGAACTGACTCTGCATCCATTATCAGGATATGATACAAGAAAAAAGAAAACAACAAAAACCAGTACATATTATTATCTGCTGTTTTATATGGTGTGAAACTTGGGAGGAACATACACTGACTGCAGTTGAGAACAAGACAGTAATGAGAACATCTACACCCAAGAGAGAGGACATAAAGTAGGCTGGAGAAAACTGCATAATGAGGAACTTCATACTCAAAATTTGTACTGATCACATAAATAATTTTAGGATAAGATGTAGGGAAAACTGGAAAGTAAACATTTCTTACAAAAGTTTGGTCAGAAACCTGTAAACAGGGTAGATGTTTGAGAAAATACGTATGGAGGAATGGCCCAAACCCAAATGGCTTAGGATTGAGTTCAGTGGTGGCTTCTGTGAACATTAACCTTTGGGATGCATAAAACTTTATTTTCTGAGTGAGTACTGACTCTTCGAGGGAAAAAATGCACCATGAAATTAATTATTAATATGTAGGAATAAGTAGGAGACAGGAGTAATCAATATGGGGACCAATGGTGATGTCTTGGGGTCATCCTTGTATGTAGCGACCTTGACTAATCTTGTTTAATCTGAACTGTCCCAATTTCTGCCACAAATATGTACCTCAGTGGGGTACAATTCTTTGCTTCATGGTTCAGAGTCTGAGAAAACTTCTGTAAACTCTAGCACAGATTTTGGAATCACATATATTTTGTTATTTTGATCTTCTGAAAACATTTTCTGCCTCAAAAAGAAAAGTCATGCAAATTATGAACACATTTTGTATACTTTTCATTTTGAAATGTTCTCAAGCCCATGGAAGTACTCAAATGCCACTTCTGCAGGTTCCATTCACATGAAGCATGAGTACTGTCTAGCTATCTTCAGGAATGGATGTTTGTGTGACACATGTTCCATAGCCCACAAAACACAACAGTGTTAACCACATGCCATGCCTCAGCGATGTGTTAGCGAACTACTCACACAAACACGTCTGTACATACCTCGCTACACACAACTTTCTTTACAACCCGTCATGTTGCATGAAGCTTGTTTATTGAACAAAAGAGGACAGGAATAGATACAAATATAGATATAAAAAGTGAATAATGTTCAATTTAGATTGCCAATTTATATCACAAACCAAAACCTCAATTTTTAAATAAGAAAACAGAGTGATAGAAATGCAGAGATCCCCATGGGATTCACACAACACACAGCAATGATATGTCTAAGCAACAAGCAACTGTATGATGTCGGTGGTGGGTTCCGACTGGTGGAGGTTCTCCACGCTGAGCAGACGAATCAACTCCTCCTCCTGGTCAGACACAAGCCAATCAGGAGGCTCTGTGTCCGACTCCACCTGCCAGAGCAACAAAACAAATTCAGCACTGTGCCACATCCCTATCAGTTGGTGGAATTCTGGCATTCGCCTCGTAGCAAATAAGATCACATACAGAATGTCTCTCGCAGCTTGTGTTTGCAATAAAACAATTCCCATATGTTATACAAAACATAAAAAATCTCCACAATGATCAAATATCACAGACCAAAACTGACTTCTTTCTTTTATATTCTGTTTCTATTCTTGTGATGGGATAGGACCAAGTCCCTTAGTACTTAGGCCACAAGTGGCTGCACTGTACGAGCCCCCCGATGACAGATGAGAGAATGGAATATTGGTAGAATAAGAACTGGGAGGGGAAACTAAAATACCGTATTTACGCATGTATAGGCCGCACATTTTTTGCCAAAAATTCAAGAGGAAAACTGGGGTGCGGCTTATATTCGAAATCACACTTCATTTAAAAAAAATTATATTCATAATTAGTAATACAGGGTGTTCAAAGATAGAGGAAACCGGGTCAGCCGCGTAGAGCGGATGGAATGTTTCTCCGCGACTACTGTGCCCCTCCCCGCTAGCAAGAGTGCAGTCGTGTCGCTGATACCCTTACATCAGTTTCTGTACATGCACACATTTATAAGAATACTGTAAAAAGATAACACAAACTTACCGTGCTTTATAACAGGTGCTGAAAGTGACCCCCTTCTGCTTGCAAACATGCTTCGTATCACATGAATAAATTATGCGACACTTTCTGAAGTTGGTCCACGGTAATTGAACCATATTACTGTTCATCACTTGACTCGTTACTGTCGATGTCGCTCTCGCTCGAAGTTTCGCTGTCAGGTGATGTCAGCCATACAGCGTCATCTTCAGTCCTGTCCACTGCATTGGATATGGATGTGACTTTAAAACTTTTGGAAACCATTTCTTCTGGTATGGTGTTCCATGCAGCCACAATCCACTCACACATTTGACTTAATGAAGGTTTCTTCAATCGTCCAGTCGGCGTCATCTCCGTGGAACCGCATCTCCAGTCCCGGTAAAAGCATCGCAAATGAGACTTGAAAGGACTTGACACGTCAAGTGGTTGTAACATGCCAGTCATCCCCCCTGGTATCACAACCATATCACTTTTCTCCTGCCTCATCTTCACTTTCACATTTTCAGTTAAATGGCTTCGAAAACTGTCAACCACTAACATTGACCGCTGACGTAAAAGTGCGCCTGGGCGCCGAAACCACACTGATTTCAACCAATCCAGATAGAGCTCTTCTGTCATCC